GGATGGATGGATGGATGGATGGATGATGGATGATGGATGGATGTATGGATGGATGGATGGATGATGGATGATGGATGGATGATGGATGATGGATGGATGGATGGATGGATGGATGGATGGATGGATGGATGGATGGATGATGGATGGATGGATGAGGACAGGTGGCTGGAGAAGGGTGAGGAACACATCTAAGAAGCCCATGGTTGCAGCTCTGCCATCTGAAGAGAGAGCTGAGCCCACCCTTCCTGTCCCCATTGGCTCAGGGATCGCCTCACATGGGTAAGAGCCCCTCCTGCCTCACCGCGGGGAGCAGAGGGGAGGCTTCTGGGGGTCTCCTCGGGTAGAGACAAGCTGTCCTGTGCCAGCCATGGCTGTGCCCCTCGGACAGCAGACACCATGCAAGGTGAGGTGCCTCCAGGCTTATTCCTCCAACGAAACCAGCAAAAATTAATGTCATCCCAATTTTCTTTGCCAGGAGCCGGCAGCCACGATACGGCGCTTGGCTCCTGCCTAACTGGAGCTCGCCCCTTTGGTCTGTGTTGCTGCAGCGAGTGAGGGGGAACGGCAGCCAAGGCAAAAATGTTTTACTGTTCAATATAAAATTTATGGGGTGCCTTTTATGACAGCGTCCCAAAGCAGGGCTGCGGTAAAGGGAGAACTGAAAGGCAGCAGAAAGCCTGACTCACAACAACAGAGAGCTGGCCGTGGGGTAACACCCGATGGCGGGGGAGAAGCTGACACCGGAGAGGACGAGATGGTGCTCGGAGGCAGCCAGGGCCAGGGCGTGCAATGGGTCTGGGAGATAAACTTATGGGAGGATGGGACAGTCACATCAGGCAAATAACGGCTTTGGAGACTTCCACATCTTTCTTTCGTGGTGGGTAGTACACTCAGCACCAAACCCTGTTTGCTGGGACCAATTCCAGCACAAGGGCAATGGCAGAGGCAGGGGCAGAGGGTATCCAGTCCGCCTCGGAGCACCAGGGCAATGCCATCCGTGTTTCCCCTGAAGGGACCAGGCAGTAGGATCAGCTCTTGGCAGGAAGTTCCGTGGGATGGGCCTGCTTCTCCATCTCCAGCTTGTGTCTCCAGGAAACCTCTCGCCAAAGAAACCCCCTCTTGCACATTGCAGTTAATCTCCAAATGTCCCTGCCCAGTGCAAAGCTCAGCTGGGGGGCCAGGGTGACACCGCGCTGAGGCTCTGGGCTTACTTCAAACCCTCTTTTTGTAGAGAAACGTAAAGCACCATGCTCGGGGTGGAGATGCCTCGGGGAGGGACCTCACCTCCAGTGCTGCTCCCTGAAGGTTTCTCCCGGCTCTGGAGCAGCTGGTGGCACCCACCCCCCTCCTGGAGATGTAGAGGAGCTCTGGGCATGGCCCTCACCTGATTTACACCCACGAGGTCTCCTGCCTGTGTCCGAGCTCGGTATAACCTGTATGGGCTCAGTATAACCTGTATGGGCTCAGTATAACCTATATGGGCTCAGCATAACCTGTATGGGCTCAGCATAACCTGTATGGGCTCAGTATAACCTGTATGGGCTTGGTATAACCTGTATGGGCTCAATATAACCTATAGAGACTCAGTATAACCTATATGGGCTCAGCATAACCTGTATGGGCTCAGCATAACCTGTATGGGCTCAGTATAACCTGTATGGGCTTGGTATAACCTGTATGGGCTCAATATAACCTATAGAGACTCAATATAACCTATATGGGCTCAGTATAACCTGTATGGCCTCAGTATAACCTGTATGGGCTCAACAATCTATACTGGGCTCAGTAACCTATAGATACTGGGAGGAAACCTCATCGGGGCTGGGCAGGGCAGGGTTTGTGCTGGTTTTCTTCAGGCCTTCGCTAGGAACCCAACTGGGCAGCTTCATTTCAAACGCCTGCCACTTCTGGTAAATGAGTATAAATTGGGCCTCGGCTCTGCTTCAATTAGAGCACGCAAGAGCTAGGAGTTAATTAGGCTGGTGAGTGAGGGGTCAGGCGTAGCGCGGGGACTGGCAGCACCCTCCCTGCCAGCAAGCAGCTCCAGGCTCTCTCCCTTCACCCCACACCACAAGGAACACCCCTAAGGCCCAAAGCATCGCCGGGATTTTTTTTCCCCCGGGTAAATTTAAGCAGACGGGCCCCATCGCCTGGCTCATCGGTGCCCACCGACTGCTCCCATTATCCCCAGTTGCTCCTTGCTGCAGGTCGGCGGGAGCGTTGCTTTTTCTCCCCTCTGTCCTTTGGCCACGGACAGACCTGGTTTCCATCCACATCCCGAGCACATGGCAGCAATCCCCGATTTTTTTTTTTTTTGGAGCATAATGAAGAAAGAAGGGGAAGGCACGGCCGTCCCTGGGGTGGGAGCAGCTCGCATTGATCCTTTTATAGCCCCACGTGAGCCGTTGCCTGTCCAAGAGAGAGCACCTGCACTCACTTAGCAGCTTGCTCGGGCGCCCGTCCAGAGCACCAGGACCTCCCGTTTCCTGGCCCATGTTTGCCCCCAGCCTTTGCCTGACCCCCCATACCCTCTGCCAGCCCCCAGCTCCGTTTTCAGCCCCAAACTGCCTGTGGACCGTAGGAAAGTGGGACGGGATGATCCCCCTCCCGATGATGAGCAAAGCATCCATGGGATGCTCTTGGCATGCCTTCATCCCACATCCCAACCCTGAGGACGTTGCCTGAGGGGGTCAGACCCCACTGGGATGGGGGTCCCAAATGGGCCCCCCCCTGAGCTGTAACACAGAAGAGCCAGCAGAGGAGGCTGAATCAAGAAGACGCTTTAATCAGATTTATCGGACAGATCTGGATCTCCAAATAAATAGATTTATCAAAACAGAATAAAACAAGAAACCAGGGATAAATACATGTACCAAAACAACCTGAAAATCCCCCAAAGCTATTTCCAGACAGGGGGAGGGCAATGCTGCTGCCCGTCCTCCTCCCCACACTGCAGAAATGGTCCTGTTCACCCTTTGGGAGATGCCCCTCCTGTGAATACAGCCCAGTAGATATTATGTAGGATATATAAAAATATATAGCATAATAACATGCTTAGTAGCGACCTTAGTGCAGTGTTCGGGGTCTCAGACCCTGTCAGCAGGTGGGTCCTCCCCAAAACTACGTCTTCCAGTAACCTGCAGAGAAGGGAAAAGAATCCTCCCAGCTGAAACAGAGGAGAAAAGACCCAAGATTTTTCAGGCAACCACCCCTTCAGAGGGCATTCAGCCAAAGAAACCCTTCGCAGATCACAGGGGTTCCAAAGAAAAGAAACACGGATGATTTTTCTCTCCTTGCAGGTCACCTTTACGCCGGCGGTTGGTAAAAAGCATGGTGGTGTTCTGCTTTACTGCTTGCTCCCGGTGCTCTGCAGAAAGGCCAGGGTGTCAGGGGTGTACCCCACCTCTTCACGTCGCCCCAGGCCTCGCCTCTCCCCCACTGCACCCCGACACCTTCGGTTGCAGGAGACAACGGGTGGCCTCTCGCGCTCTCCGGCTGGGGAGCGGCACCTCCAACGCGGTTCAGGTTGGTTCATTTGCTGGAGTTTCTGTCGTTTACACTAGTGTATCCTTTATTGCTGTGCCAGTCTATTTAATAATGCAACTTTTTTTTTTTTCCTATATATGTGTATGTGTGTGTGTGTGTGTAGATAAATCGATAGCTAGGTTAAAGTTTGTTGGTTGGGTTTTGTTTTGTTTTGTTTTGTTTTCTTTTTCCTTACAAGTTCTTTGTTTCTTTCTCTGGGCTCTCTGTCATCCTCAGCTCTGACGTCTGGGCTCGGAAAATGTTCCAGTGACCTGGGTGGGCAGAGATGGACATTCAACAACAACCCTCAGAGCAGGAAAACAGAATTTACCCCACACGCAGCACCCTCTGCACTGGACGACCCATGAGGACCCTGATGGGAGAGAAATGGGGGGAAAGGTCTCCCCACAGTGCTGTGGCTGGAGCAGCTCATGAGCAGCCCCAGTAATCTGGTCCTAATCTTGCAATTAAAATGGTATTTGAGGTCATGAGAGGCCCTATATACATCTTGCGATGCAATTAACAGCACAGTTAATGGCAATGCCAATGCTTTCGCTGGAAACCACTCCTGTGCGAGCAAAAGAAAAGAGATCGGTCTGAAATGGGGGTAAATCACTCCACCTGCCTCCTCAAAGTGTGCTTTAACGTGAGTGGTTAGGGCCGTGTCCTCCCCCAGCACGGACTCCCTGCCTCTCAGCGGGGAGAAGCATTTCGCTTGTCCTCTGATTCATCATCAGAAACCCAACATTCACATTTTTAGGGCCATGGGCATGGGGTGGGGTGGGTATGTTTCTCTGCTCTCTTTGTCAGCACAGGGTGATGGCTGTCAGTCCCAATTCTTTGGGGTGGGTTGCTCGAACACCGCCCCCCCTCCACCACCCCCCATTTATACTCATTTTCCTGCGGCCACCCCAGCCTCACAGGGCTTTGCAACCACCTATGGCCAGGGAAAGTCCTGCTGCAGAAGGAAAAGAAATACCCTCAGGTGCCCCCACAGCCTCCCGGGTGAGCTGCAGACTCCCTGCAAAGCAAACGCACTGGAGGAAGCTGGGAAACACCCCAAAAATGGGCACAGGGCTTCCCACCCCCCCCTCCTTGCCCCCCAAAACACCAGCATCCCCTACTTGCAGGAGGTGGCTGGAGGTGTTTTCCCTCTAGGTGGTCACTTCCCCCGTAACCCCAGCAGGGATTATGCAGCCCTAACGTCGTCATCCATGGGGGGGGTGTATTTTCTAGCTGAATTAATCTCCTGTTGTGAAGAAATCACCGACAAATGCTTTCCTAGGACTTGCAGCAACAGCAGAGGGATGGTTTCACAACAGGATTATTTGTCAGGGGAAACTGAGGCACGAAGAAGGAGGCACATGCCAGAGACCCCATGGGGGTGCAAAGCCCAACCTGGGAGCAGAGACCTAAAAATCCCCCAAGGTTTGGTCAAGAGGTGTTGTCTCAAACGGATTGGAGGTGAAAACAAATCTCCACCCTCCCTGGGGCACTGGGCGTGCTGGTATGCGCTGGGCAGCAGCACCGTTCCCGGCTGACCCGGTGACCTGCGGGTGCTGGACAATACAGGAACGGCTCTGATCCGAACCTAACCCGTTAAACTCTTACCCAGCCCGGGCAAAGAGGCAGCCAGCGGGAAATAGCACGGCAGTTTCGCTCTGCACAAGCACTCTCGGCATGTGCGCTGGCATTCCTGCTTTTTGTAACATTTACGCACATCCAAGAACATTAAGAATGATTTTTAAAAATATTTCAAGAGTTTATTTTTTTTCAAATCCCTTGCATCTTTTTTCTTCCCCCCCCCCTCCCCGGTAACACCAGATGGATTAAATATAAAAAAATCAAACAGTTTTACAGGCTTTGGAGAGACAAAGCCTTTGGATTTCACAAGCGTGCATCCACTTTTAGAAAGCTGGCTGCCCTTTCTGATACCATAAAGTGAAAATGTGACGGCTAACCAGGAGTGTTGCATATGCATGTGAAGACAGGTCAGACCTGACCCGGCTATGTTTGCACAAGCCTTCTCCCTACGGTTTGCTCCCCACGTCGTGCTGGATTTATGCAGCAAAACATGGGGTTGTTTGGGGCAGAGTCTGCTGGTGGAGCAGGGAAATGGGATTTGATTTTTTTTTTTTCTCTCCCTACCTTCGTTCGTCCTGGTGATCAGCCTGAAGTTCTGTGCTTCTTGCTTGAATTCTTGTTTGCTGATTTTCTTGGTCTGTATCAGATGAAATATTCCTGCAGAAGGAAACACAGGGCATCAGACTCCATGATGCTCAGTGTAAGGCTCGGGTTTGGATGCACAGCTCTCTGTCCCCGCCTGAGATGCAGAAGGAACGCTGCCTGCATGGGATGCCCCGGGGTGCTGGTTTGGTGCAGAACCTGCTGCTGGAGACTGGCGGGAGTTTGGGAGTGAATCCAGGTGAATCCAGGGCTGGCCAAAACCCGGGAGAGATCTCATTTGAAAACAGTAACTGCTCATTAAACCAGAACGTGGCAGGGACAACACCACGAAGCAAGTGAAAGAAACAGGATTTTGTTGCTCCAAAAAGCATCTTGCACTGGAGGAGCTCTGATCTCCCCTAAAACCATAAGAGAAGTAAGGGTGAGACCAACAGGATCCTGGGATCTCTCTTCTCTCTGCTCACTCTGGACCACCTATCTTCCCCAACCGCAAAGGTCCCTCCATCCTCGGATGCTTTCCTTTCCTGGAAGGTGTCAGGAAAGTTTTCCATCTCTTTGCCCCCTGAAATTCCTCCAGGACAGAAAAAAAAAAACCAAACAAAACCCCAAATTACCTCAGCAGAGATTGATATTTCTGCCTGTGCCAGCATTGTCCCATTAGCAGAGGTGCCCATCTCAGATGTTTGACCCAAGAAGCCCAGAAGTTGCATTTGGCAACGGAAGCAATCTTTCAGTGGGATTAGGGGTTACGATACCCACATTCGCATGTGAAGCATGACAAACCGGGCAGGTATGCCTGGCATATCCTTCCCCACCTCTCACCCAGGCTCCCCACGTGTCCAGCTTCTCACTGCCAGCAGATGTGAGAAGCAACGTGGTCCGCCTTATTTGGTTAAGAGACTTTCCCCGATTCCCAGCAGCAATTACACACAAAAAGCGTATGTAACGAAAGAGAACTGGGTAGCAATCTATATAAACAAGATGTTATGGACTGTGGAAAATTAATACAGGAAGTCAAAGACATCCGGAGAAATATGTGGATATTTGGGCTATTAATAAGTCCTTTAAGTGGGTCAGGAAAAGAAGTCCTACCAGTAACAAAAGGAGATACTGGATGGAGATCATAAAACTGTTAATGACGCAAGAAAGGCACAAGTGTTCAATAAATCCTCCTGGTCTATACTTAGAAAGGAGCAGGAGGCTGTGCTTATAGTCCCCGTGGCTGATGAAGCGCTTTCCAGTACATTAGTAACCAAGAGGATATTTTAAACAAGAGCTACAAGAGATAAACATCTTTTAATCAACCGACCTAGATAATGTTCACCCAAGAGCCCTCGGAGAGCTGGCTGAGACCTTTAGCCCCTCACACAGTCGTTTCTGACAGATGCCAGGAGCTGGGGAGCAGCGGAGGAATGCAGACGATGCTCCAGCACGCACAGGGAGAGCATGAGGCGGAGCAGATAAGAATAGCCCACTGCGCCTGCCATCCGCCCAGGAGGCATTATGGGATGGAGCTGGTAAAGGGCAATGCCATTTCCCGTCGAGCAGATCCTGTCCAACAAACGGGATCATCCTTTGTGAAGTTTAGGATGAGATGGAGGGAGGTGGTGGGGCTGTTGGGCTCTTACCACTTTTCCTGGGGCTTATAAGAAAGACGGGGACAGACTTTTTAGTAGGGCCTGTAGCGATGGGACAAGCAGTAAGTTTTAAACTAAAAGAGAGAAGATTCAGTGTAGATACAAAGAAATTTTTAATGATGAGGGTGGTGAAACACTGGCACAGGTTTCCCAAAGAGGTGGTAGATGCCTGGAAACATTCAAGGCCAGGTTGGACGGGGCTTTGGGCAACCTGGGCTAGTGGAAGACGGCCCTGCCCATGGCAGGGGGGTTGGATTAGATGATCGTTAAGGTCCCTTCCAACCCAAACCATCACATGATTCTATGATTCTATGCTTTAGGCACTGCCTCAGGACCAAAAAAGAAGCAGAGTTCAGTAAAGAACAAGTAACGAACTAAGGACCAGCCCCATCTCCAAGGGAGCAATTAATCTTCCCTAATTTTGGAGAGACAAGGGAGAAGCAGGCTCTTCCGCAGTGACGTTCTACTCATCCTAAAACGGGTGGGTGGGACGCATCGTAACTTCTCTCTGCTGACTCTGTGGGGAACCAACATGACTCTTTAAACATGGTACTCAATACCGGGCTGGGGAACAAAGGGAGTGAGAGTCTAATTCCAGAAACAGGTCTCAGGATTTGCTAAATCACTTGCAAAACAAAGCTTCGGCGGGTGGATGGAGAGGGGAGCATGAGTGCACACGGGTGCATGAGACCCATCCCGGCAGGATACAACCTTTGACCAGAACCTCGCTCCCCGTTTTGGGCTCTTCACTGCAAGAAAGACGTAGAGAGAGCCCAGAGCAGAGCTACGGGAAGGACCAAAAGAAATTTCGAACATCAAGGAAAGACTGAAAAAAATCGACCGCTTAACCTGTGGAAGAGAGAGCAGTGGCAGGAGCCGATGGCATCTTCAGATGCATCAATAGAAAGGAGTTTGCTCTTCACACCCATGGAGGAGAGTGTGAGAAGGCACGAGCTTGAGCTGTAGGGAGGCTGTACATTGGGCAAAGTCTTTCCTTAGGAGGTTTGTGGCTCTGGAAGATATTACAAGGGCCACGGAGTCTCCATGACAGATCTTCAAGCACATGCCGGAATAGCATAGGGACAGCTGGTCCGGACCCACAAGTCCCCTCCAGCCAGGGTATGAGGGTACAGCAGCATGATGAAACACTAGGGATCACCAAAGATCCCAAAGCTCCAGGTTTTCAAGAAAGAAAGGAGTATTTTGGTCAAGGTCTAATCGCCAGCCTGGCAGGGTAAACGTGGGAAAGAGGCCCGAGGGGCAACTGCATCTCCAAGTACAGCCCAGGCCGCCAGCGAGGCAGGCTGAAGGGCAGGAGTCAATGACAAAGCCCCCAAACCGTGCTGCTCTCTGATCCTGCCTGTTCCTTTTTTGTCCTCGCTCCCAGCAATAATTCCTGCTCCAAACCATCAGAAAGTCACATTTCAAAACTCTTGAGTTGTTCAGTCCCCTAAAAAATGTGGGAAAGCCCCCACTGCCACTCATCAGGGGGCTGGTCGTGTACCACCAGCAAGTTGGGTAAAGCTCCTTCTGCCAATTCCTGCCTCGTGGGGGAAACTGTCCCAGCACAGAAATAGATGAGGCCACGTAGGTATTGCAAGCCCATACAAAGGCAGATGGACGGGCTCCAGGCGCAACTTGCAGCCTCTTTTCTCCACACTCACTGCTCTGTTGGTAGAGTGATGGACCATGGAGAGGTGGAATCCATATGTGACTGAGCTCATGCTCTTTCCCAATAGTAACACTTTGCTCTGCCAAGCAAAAGAGCTGTGTTGGCCTCGGGGACAAGGGCCTCCCCTGTCCTTGGCTGGCAGGGCTCGGGAGCTCCGTGCAGACGTGAAGCTTTTGGCCTCAGAAGGTGGTGAGAAGGTTTGGGTGGCGACCTCTGCCAAGGAGCGAGGAGAGGAAATGGTGGGGCCCAGACAGTGCAGGCTCAGAGCTGTCCTCCAGCTACAAGATGCCATTGTGAAGGAGGCTTTGCCGAGGTAGGGGGGAGGACAGGGAGAGGGGCACCGCGGAGGACGGAGGATGGCAGGGGGAGGATGGAAACATGGTGGCAGCCAGGGCCCTGTCTCTGGGCTTAATTTCTCTGGCTATTATCCATGTGTGCCTACCCTTGGCAGCTGGGAAGAGCCAGTCCCAGGAGGGCTGAGGTCTCCTCGGGGAGTGAGGTGAGACATGAACATACCCAGGAGACCAGAATATCTGGCTACACATGTCCAGAAGACACCCGGCTGCAGGGTCTGAGGGTCACTGTATCCATAGGAGGTTGCAACCAACCTCAAGAGCTCAAGGCACAAGTTTTTGCAAAGGGTAGAGTACATCCAACGGAAACTCAGCGTTGGGGAACTGCAATGTTTTCCCAGACCCAAAAGAAACACATAACACTAATATCTACTGGACCAAGTGGCCCTAGTAGAGAGAAGGTCCTCTGGTCTGTAAGAGTGTTGCACAGATAAAGGTGCAGGGACAGAGATTGGTGTCATTTGACGGCATATTTGCTGTGCTTTGACCTCTGGAAGACACATCAACCAGAGCATCCAAATCCACCCATCCAAAAAAGAGAGCTGGGGGCAATTCATCCCCACCCTGCGTGCACCTTTGCAGCAGCTCTGCAAGCTTTGCTCCCAGTGATGGGTGGACCAGGGGGAGAAAAAAAAAAAAAAGGCAAAAAGTAAAAACACGGAGTGACCAGAACAATTTTTTGTTTAGTTTTCCATGGCCGTTTGGCAGGTTTGGAGGAACAGTCCCATGGCCCTTGCCTTGTTTGCCCACGTGCTGTGTCTCCGGATGGTGTTGCAGCTCGTGGAGGTATACGCTGAGGCCAGAAGTGGTTTCCAGCCCCTGGTCTGCATGCAACTGCAGCAAAAGAGTGTGAAATGGGGGAGTCAGAAAAGCCAACCTGCTGTCAGCAGGTTTTGACTCACCATGCAAGGTCTGGAGCACCACTAGAAAAGCCTGAAAAATTGAACAAAGCTTGGAAAGCACCAGGTTTCCACGCTCACCTCCTCCGTTGCTGGCTGGTTGCGTTACAGTACTCACCTTTAATCAGCTTCCAGTTGTAGATTTCCACCTCTTCCGCAGGCTCCTTCTCAATCGCGATTGTCCTGAGGATCTCCTTGGACGTCTCCGAGCTCGGCGGCACAAACATGTACACGAGGACGCGGTTGGGGTTCTTGCCACACCGGGCGGTGATTATTTCATCGGTGGGTTTGACTCTGGTTTCTGGGCAAAAGCAAGGACAGAGTTCGCTAAATAGGGGCAGGAAGGAGTTTGCAGGGGGCCATCTCAGGACCCGGGCCAAGGGAAACGCATCGCGTTGGGCGGCACAGCCGCGTCTCTGAATGGGACCTGGCTCCCAGGGTCTGCTCCCCAGCGCCGAGATCAGCAGCAAAGGGAGAGGTTGGTAAAGGATCTGTGGACCTGCTCGTCCCCGTATTTTCCATTCCCTTTGATTTTGGCAGCCTCTGTGACAGCAGGGATGGGGAAGGGAGATTTTTCTCCACCTGGATCCCCCGTTCCCGCTGCAGGGACCTTGGTGCCATCATCACTGCAAAGCCCAGGCTGGATTCTCCGCTTCCCGTCGCTCCCGCTGCCATCCAGGAGGAGCAACGTCAGCAGAGCAAAGGGATGAGCCCGCAGCACGGGAGCCAGCGCTGTGGCTGGGCTGCCTGGGCAGCGTGCCCGGCTCAGCCCCAACGGTGGGCTCAGCCGCAGTGCGAGCCCCCTGCTCACATGGGGTGCAAATCAGGGAGACCCACAGCAGGGGCACCAGTGGGACTCTGTGTGACTTTTTCAAGGAGAGCTGCTAATTTTTTTTAATTTTTTTTTTTTTAATGTATCTGGAGTAATTAAGAATCCCCCATGGTTTTGGAAGGAGATTTATTGCCTTTGGTTGTGGTCCTTGGAACGCAGAGGAGCCCAGCTCTGCTGAATTTAGCCTTGTTCTCCCAGTCATTTTGGATGCTGAAGCTTTTTACACTACTCGAAAGAAAGTTTGGCTATAAATAGACGCGTGGGGTTTATTTTAGTAGGACAGTTATTTTAGGCCTGATTCTGCTCTCCCCTGTGCTTTCTGGGGTGGTCCTGAGCTACTTTCCTCAGAGAGGGGATGGAAATACCCATTTAAAGGGATGCAAAACAGAGTTTTTTCAGCAATGGGAGGACAAGTGTTCAGCTCTGCAGGCTCCGCATGATGCAAAGGGGGACAATCACAGCCCACAACCCTCACTCCTGCCACCTCGGGGCTCCAGGTGCAGAAAAATCTCTGTCCCAAACCATTAAAATTCACCCACTCCAGGGCTGCATTGACTGAGGAAGCCCCAACTTCATGACAGGGAAGGAACCACACATCTTTGCAAGTACAACAGATATTTAACAACCTTGGAGCTTCACGCTGGAGCCACTCGATGGCCAACGGTGTTGGGGAGGAGGAGCGGGGACCCAGGAGTCCCAGCCACCAGCTCAGCCCCCAGCAGCCACGATGGTCTCCCCATCCGACCAATACATTGCAGCAATTGCCCTTCGATTGGGATGCCTTTTGCAAATAGAAATCACTCAGCATTTCTCTTCAGGCTACTGGGTATGAAGGAGGAAGAGGAGGACAGTCATGGAAACTGCCTGGAAAAAGAAGATGGGTGAAACCTCCGTGCAGCGAAGCAAAGGACGAGCCTGTAACTTGGCTGAGCAATGTGTATATGTGTGTGTGATTGCTATCTGTGAGTACTGGAAAGCAAGAAGAAAATAATTTTGGCTGGGTCAGAGTGTTTAACTGGAAATAAATGAAGACTGAACAGCAGACAAGAGATCCCAGCAGAGAAAGTTGTAGACTTTAAACCAGAAGGACCCGCTATAATGGGAATGCAAGACTGGAAGGGCTCTGCTCAGTCATCACATCCCTTTCCCACCAGGCACCACGTCATAAATCCTGCTCATAAACATATCAGAATCCTTATTAAAACAAGCTGAGCTTCTGCCCTTCACTCCCCCAGGGAGGCCATCCCAGAACCTCCCTGCTCAGAGGCTGGAAAACCTTGAAAATCCCAGCTGAAATGATTTTGCAGCCTGTTTGCCCCCATTCTTAAATGGGGCAATGCCTCTTGCTCGTGGTCCCTGGTGAGATCCCTCCACAAAACCAACCTGAAGATGCACCTCAGAAGAGAGCACCCAGAAACTGCTGCATCTGCAGCCAGAGACCCTCAGGTATCTTTAGTCTCTCTAGGGAAGCAGTGGGTGGTCCATCATCTGAACATCTACTGCTGAATGGCAGCACAGAGGGGTGTAGCCTAGAAAATACTCTCCAGTGGGAACAGGAGAAGATCTCATGCCCTGCCACATCTTTGCCAGGTCTGTGGTTTAAGGTAAACAGCTTTCCAAAGACCAAGAAACAGCTGAGAGACCCAAAATCCATTAAACATGAAGAAAAAAAAAAAAAAAAAAGAGGTTCTCTCCACCATGTCACAGTCCCAGCACCAGCCCAGTTCTACCTGGGTGCTTAACCCTCCCCCTTCCAGGGATGGGGTCCTCAACTCAGATTCAAATAAACCACGAGTGCCACAGATAATCCCACACCTGGAAAGTGTCCTCCTAATTTCAAACCAACATTTCAGCTGCCACAATTTAACCCTGTGACTTCTTGTCCCAGCCGGAGGTCTGGAGAACAGACCGTGCCTTCTCTCCCCGGAAAGCATCTTCTATCTGCCTGGAGACTCCTAGCATGTTCCTTCTTGGGCATCTTTCTCCAGATTACACCCACCCAACTGATACAACCTTTTGGGATCGGTGCAGCTTCCTCACCTTGGGTCAGTCCTGCTGCTCTCCAAGCCAGGCCAACCCTTACATCAGTGCTCGCCCTGCCGAACTCACGCAGTGTGAATCCAGGCTACCAGCGTTGGGAAACCCTACGCATTTGTCTTTACACCATCACTAAACGGAGGAACTGGAAGGCAGCTGCAGGAGCAGGTGGGATCCCACCTACCTGGACATATTTTACAGCATTTCCCATCCACTTTCTCTGGATAGTCACACGGATATTCCTTGGGGCACATGATCTTCTGGCAGTCCTGCACACCGTCCCTACAAGTGCAGAGGATGCAGGGCAGGAGGCCGTACAGCCGGAAGACGGGGTGCCACACTTCCCCGTGGGAGTAGGTCTTCCCATTGTAAACACAAGCTGGAAGAGAGAGAGAAAAGAGTTGCTGGTGGAAATAAAACATCCTCCTCTCCGCACACTCAAGGCTTGGTGGAGCTCAAGACATTTCACCACCTGAGAGCACGGTCCTCCGGCAGCACATCCAGCATCCGCGGACCCGGGGATATTGCAGTCACCCCACCTAGGAGATGCCATGGGGCAGGGGGACCAGGGTTCGGGAGATGGAGGCTGCTGGGGCCAACCACCCTGGTGGGGTGGTAAGTGTGGGCAGGACCTCACCTGCCTCCAAGCCTCTGCAAGCCCAGGGTCTCTGCGAGGCTGTCGCAGGCATGAAGCACAGTGAAGAGTGCCACCTGCTGACTCCTCCATGAAAATTTTTGGAGGTCCCAAAATTTCCTCCAGAGCTTCATCTCCAAGGGCTGGAAAGAGCCCTTCTGGAGACACAGTGGTAGAAGAACCCTCAAGAGCAGAAGGGACCTGTCTTTTCCCCTTTTGCTCCACGGGGTTGCCTCCTCATCTGACTTTCCTTCTGTCTCCTCCAGGAGGAAGAACACAGCACCGGGACAGACCCAGCACATGGCAAGTTGGTGCAAGGAGGAACATCCTGTCCCTCCATGACACTGTCCTGGAAGGACCACATGGAGTCTTCCAGCTGAGAACCTCCCTTCGCAGGTCCCAGACCTCCAAAACACCCCAGAGAACAATCTTCTTCCAAGCTTTTTTGGAAAGTGGTACCAGGGCTGAGGAGGCTGGCTGTGGGGGAGTGGGAGGTGGGACTTGGTGGTGGAAATCTGCTGATGAAATAGATTCCCTAGAGAATTCAAAGTCCTGGATAATTCAGAGTTCTGGAGAAGTCACCTTAGGCCATGTAGAGGCTGCCTGGCCCCTCCATCTCTTACCTTTCTTGTGCTTCTCTTTCAAGACAATCTTCACAGTGGTGCCACCTCCTCCCTTGGGTTTGAAGCTCCTGGGAATGAACTCCAGGGAGGAGGTGAGAACAGTGGACGCCGTGGCTCCAGGTGGCTTCTTGCCCATCGCTTCCCCCAAGCACTGGTCTTGCGAGTGCCTCTGCGAGCAGTCAGAGAAAAGAAGGGGGCTCAGACCCAGGCCGTCGGGTTGTTCTCACTCCAAAGCATGCTGGAAAAAGCCATGCAGTGTCTCACACACACCTTCCAGCAGGAGTGGACGGTACAGAGACTCCAGGGATAAGCAATGACCCAGGAGCCATCTCAGGGCCTGCAGCTGGCCAAGGGGTGCTGAGCAGTTTGTGTCATTGCCCGTGGGTCACCCTCATTAGGGCAGCACCTTTCTCATCCCACACTCAACCCAATGCCCTCAGGTGAGGTCCGGCAGCACTAACTCAGGCAGGGAAATTCTAGATGCCTCTTGAGAAACTGAGGACCGGCATCCGTGCAAGCCAATCAGGCTCAGGGAGGTGAGGAAGGGCCGTATCCTGCCCTCTCACCTGGCTGGCACCAGGAGGGTTGGTGTGGGGCTGCCAGCCAGCAGGACTGAAATCCTGGGAACATCCCGGGCTTCCAAGAGCAAACTGCTGGGACAAGACATGCAGCACAAAGGATCCCCTTGTGTCTATTTTGGAGGTTTTATAGGTGGTGGAGGTGTGATGCTGGCGTTTCACCCAGCAGTATGGAAAAGGGCAGGGCCAGGAGCTGTAAGTGACCTAATCCCACAGACCTGGCATGGGCCGCCCAGCTCTGAAATGTCACCGTGAATCAACCCTCAGCAGCCAAGGAGTCACTTTTTCCTTGCTGGGGCTGCTGATACAAACAGCCTGGGGAAAGCACGCCGGTGGCCAGCTCCAGCACTGCCTGCTCTGTGGAAGTTATAGCTGGGAGGCAAGACACCTCCGAGCCCAGGGTAGGGGGGAGACACCATCTCCTGAAGCAAAAGCCCCCAGAGAGATTTGGGCCATCTGATTCCATGGGTAAGGGTCACATCTGGCTGTCGGTCACCACTGAGTCTGCTCTGTCCGTGTTCCTCGGCTGTTTTAACCTACTGGCTAGCCTCAGCCAGGTTGGCCAACAAGAAGGAGAAGTGCCCAAGATTTCCAGTTCCCACAGGTCTTTTCCTTTCCCAAAGACATCAGAGATGCTTCGGAGGAAGGGAACAAGAGCCTTTCCCTGGTGGTCTGAGGCCTCAGCCTATGCTGATAGCCCTCACCTAGAGTCAGTTCCAAGACAAAATTCATCTGCAAACCAGGTGTCTGTCGTTCTGCGATCCAAGGAACTGACTGCCCTCCTAGAACTGCTGTGGGTCAGTTCTTTGTAGGATATTACGGCCAAGGGCAAATGGCTTGGTTTGAGCTGTTTAATGGGGCTGTGCTAGAAGCAATAATCTGAGTTTTAAAATGCAAACGTCACGTACAACACCTCTGTTTAACTGCAGGGGTTCCTCTTCTGTGGACTTCTCATATGAGCCATCTGCAAGGAAAAAAACATTGTCCTGTGAAATGCTGGAGGGCTGGATGAAGATTTGCTCTCTCTTTGACTGAAAGCAGCTCTCTTCAAGGTGCTGGCCCACCTGCAAGGTCTGGAGAGAGAGGAGCTTTGAACAGCCAATTCCCATCACCCGAAGCAAATGGGAGCCATACCCCAAAAACCTTTGTATCCCCACTGACCATTAACAACAGCTCAGCTCCAGGAAAGACATGGCCTGGTAGATTCTGAAGTTAGGTGGCATGAAAACATCCCAGAGGCAGAGTATGAGGCGATGGGGATGTTTAAAAAGAAATCCAAAGACATTTCTGCCTGTGTCGATGACATGCCCCAGCTGCACCAAAGAAAACTAGGAGAGAGGAACACAAATGGCAGAAGGGGACAGTTTGGAGGAGGCACCTGGAGGAGGTCATTCTGTGTCCATGGCCAGGAGATCACCATGGCCCCTCAGCTTCCTAAGTATTTCTCATATTAAAGAGCCAGTTTATGCTGTGACTTCACTGTCAGCAAGGTGTGAAACTGCCCATTCGCTCTTGAGTCTGTCGCATCTGGAGACACGGAGCTTGACTCTCTCCTCACCCTTCAAGGTGTCAGGGGAAACAGCAGCAAATTCAAGAGTTTCTCCCTCACAGAGATGTGGGAGTGAAACTCGGTGATGCTGTGCTCAGGTAGAAGGTGGGGATTTCCCTGACTGTCCTGGAAACTTCCCTGGAGAAACAGGCAAGGACTGTCTTTATGTGGTGCATACAACCATCTCCCTCCTGGTGGGTGAGGGGCCTGGAGAATTTTGCCTTCCGTGCAGGCCACATCTCTGGCATGACACACCAGTGGCAGGGCAAAGAGTGGCCCTAGCCACCGTATGGGTTTCAGGGAGACAGGACACAACTAGGTGCAGGAGGGGATGCACTCAAGAAAAAACATGAGCCCTCATCTTTTGTTTCCTGGTGCAACCAAGACATAGCAAGTGGCCTGATTCACAGCACAGGTTTCCAGAATCCTGCTGAAGTGGCTTGAAAAGGCTCCTGCCAGCTGGTGACAACCAGTTGGGGGTCTCTGAGCCCTCACAGAACCCCAGAATCATGGAGGTTGGAAAAGCCCTTGCAGCCCCTCCAGCCCAACCATGAGCCTCCCCCTGACCGTTCCCAACTCCCCCAGATCCCTCAGCGCTGGCTCAGCCCGACTCTTCAACCCCTCCAGGGATCCCGGGGACTCCCCCCTGCCCTGGGCAGCCCATTCCAACGCCCAACAGCCCCTTCTGCACAGAAATCCTTCCTCAGAGCCAGCCTGACCCTGCCCTGGGCAGCTTGAGGCCATTCCCTCGGGGCCTGGCGCTGGGGCCTTGGCTCCAGAGACTCATCCCCCCTCTCTGCCCCCTCCTGGCAGGGAGTTGCCGAGGGCCAGGAGGTCTCCCCTCAGCCTCCTCTTCTCCAGACTGAACC